AGAGAGGAGGAGGAGGAGGAGGAGGAGGAGAGGAGGAGAGAGGAGAGGAGGAGGCGAGGAGGAGAGGAGGAGGGGGAGGGGGAGGGGAGGAGGGAGGAGGGAGGAGGAGGAGGAGGAGGAGGAGGGAGGAGGAGGAGGAGGAGGAGGAGGAGGAGGAGGAGGAGGAGAGAGGAGGAGGGGAGGAGGAGGCGGAGGGGAGGAGGGAGGAGGAGGAGGAGGAGGAGGAGGAGGAGGTAGGAGGAGGGAGGAGGAGGAGGAAGAGGAGGAGAGGAGGAGGGGAGGAGGAGGGGGAGGAGGGGGAGGGGGAGGGGAGGGGGGGGAGGGGGGGGAGGGGGAGGGGGGTGGGAGGGGAGGGGGAGGGGGAGGGAGAGGGGAAGGGGGAGGGGGAGGGGGAGAGGGGGAGGAGGGGGGGAGGGGGGGGGGGAGGTGGAGGGGGAGGGGAGGGGGAGGGGAGGGGGAAGGGAGGGGGAGCCGGCAGGCGGGCCGGCAGGCGGGCCGGCAGGCGGGCCGGCAGGCGGGCCGGCAGGCGGGCCGAGGGCGCGCGCGCCTCCTCGCCGCTGTCGCCCTCCGGCGGCAGGGGCGAGAACACGGCGCGCCGCCAGTGGACCCGGCCGCGGGGGTCCTGCCCAGCAGGGGGCCACATGCGAACCCTACCCCTACCCCCTCGCGCCCTTGCCGCGGAGTCTGAAGTGCATGAGAAGGCACTTGCACAGGGGCCCGCGGCATGGATTTAACTCTGGATTTGCAGGGCGATTACTACGCCATGCGTTTTCAGTAGGACTCCCACGCAGCGCGTTGCCAACAGGATCCCCGCGCAACGCGATGTCAGTTAGCTCCCTGCATCGTGGGTTGCCCATTGGATTCTCATGCGGAGGGTGGGGTTCACTTCGCTCGGGAGCTCCCGAGCGAGGTGAACCCCACCCTCCCCTCCGAAATCGTGGGGGGCAGGGGCAGGCTTCGCATGTGGCCCCCTGGCCCCGCACCGTGGACGGGTGCACACACAGAGAGGCCTCCCAGGCGGGGGCCGAGCAGACGGGGCCGCAGGACCGCGCCGCAGATCCCGAGGCATCGGCCGGGCGTCGGCGACGCCGGCGGTGCGTCGGCGACGTCGACGTGGAGAAAGGCGGGCTCCACGTCGAGACGCACCGGCGATGCGTCGGAGATGCAGCGCGTTCCTCCGACCCCATCTACTCTAAAACAGGGCTAGGATCGGGATAAATCGCTCCAGAGCGTTCCGGAGCGCTCTCAGAGCGTTCCGGAACGCTCTGGAGCGGCCGCGGCGCCCAATACATCCCCCGAACCCGCCGATTCTCAGAGATTTCGAGTCATCCCGATCCGATTTTGTCCCGATCTTAGCGTCGTTTTCTACTCGGACCCCAGGAGGCCTCGACCACCGTAGGCGGGCGTGCACACGGCAAGACCGCAAGCGTACAATGAAGACTTCAACGCCGAGGTTTTTTGCGTCCTTGCTCGGCCTCCAGGGGCCCTCCCCGGGCCACGGGACTGTCAGAAACCCGGCTCGGGACGGATGCTGGCCCTGGGGACCCCGAGCTGAAAAAAAACGGTACCTCCGAAACATGGCAGCAGCGCCGCCCGACGGAGCGCGCCGATCGTGAACGGAAGCGGGGGCCCGTCACCACCAACCCGCGCGCCTCAATCCATGCTTGTGCGTCCTCCATCCCCCTGCGGCTGCCCCCTCGCCTTGCTCCTGCCCCCCTGTGCACACCATCGGCGACTCCGCGGCCCGGCTTGCGCTTCGGCCGCGCCGGAGCGACCGCCAGCGCCGAGGCCAGAAAGCGTGCGCGGGGGCACCACGCCTTTGAAGAGGCCCAGGGAAACACACGAAAATAGACACAGATCCCAGGATTCCCCATTTTTTCGCCTATTTTCAGGAGGTTCTGCGCACATAGACAGCCCACGCTGGACTCGTGGACCTTCAGCGCTTGGCCTCGGCCGCAATACCATGTGCCACCTCCGCTGGGGCGGGGAGGCACCAATACCCTTGCGCTGCGCACGTAGACGTAGACAGCCCACGCTGATTCGTGGACCTTGCCCTGCCTTCCCTCCCTGCGGCCGGCTGCCGCCTAGGACCAAGGCCCTGCCTCCAACGGTGGAGGCCTCTGCTATGCAGACTAGAGGGGTCGCCCCCCCACTTCCCATGTTTTCCCATATGTTCCTGGGGAGCGACGACTAATTGCGTCTGTGAGCTCATTTCCCTCCTGAGCCATCCCAAGAGGGCCCGGAGCCTCCCAGGGGACCCCCCAGCCCAAAGATGCCACCCCGAAGGAGACTCGACCTTGCCGTCTCTGGGGGGGCCCGCTGGGCACACCTCGATTTCCACTGCCCCCCTCGGGGCCTTGCTGGGCCGCCCTGGGGGCTTTCCAGGGCGCCACTGGGAGCGACGCCAGGCGTGGGGCACTGGGCCATGGAGAGGGGGGGGGAGGAAGGAGGATGGTGAGGAAGAGGAGGAGGAGGAGCAGGAGGAGGAGCAGGAGGAGGAGCAGGAGGAGAAGCAGGAGGAGGAGCAGCAGGAGGAGTGGAAGAAGAGGAGGGTGGAGGAGGATCAAGGAGGATTGAGAAGACAGAAGGGCTGACAGGGAAAATGAGAATGAGGGCAGGAGGAAAAGGGAGGAGCATGCTCCTCCACCTTCTTACAAACTTCCGACAATTACACGACTGGAGGGCTGGTGTATTTCAAAATGTGGCTCCCGCCTCAGCGCCGCACAGATTCGTCTTAGAAGTTCCAACCATTGCACGGCAAAGGAGCTCTCACCTGAAATGTCCTATAACATCTTCTCACGGCAGCTCGGCTGAGAATTGTGTCTCTAGACGGGCTTGTGGAGGTACACGACGCGTCAAGAATTCCTGTGTGCATCACCAATGGGGGTAAAGAAAACGAGGACCATGACCAAGACTGAACGCGGAAACGTCGGTGCCGATCTTGGTCCACGTCCATCTTGGTCATCGTCAATTCGTGGATCATCCTCTTGAATCGGCGACAGCCGGCATAGTCCATGACCAACCACGTCGAGAATATCCCGCGACACGTATGGGAGAACATCAACGTACCCGTTGCCAGATGGAATGCGAGACCCGCTGAAATGGAAGATGGGGGGTGAGAACAAAGTGAAACAGAGTTTCCAAAGGCGACACAAGTTTGCGTCTCGATTCGTGTCGTACGGGGCGCGCGTGCGACCGAGGCGAGGCGAAACTGCGCGAGTTCCTGCCCTGGTAGAGGCCACGTCAGACCAAGGTGAAGCGCCCAGGCCCAGGCGTTGGGCTGCGTCCTGTTGGTTTTCCTGATGGTTGTCCCAACTGTCGTCACGGTTGTCCCGATAGTTGTCTCGATGGTTGTCTCGATCATTGTCCCGATGCTTATTGTCCCGATGGTTGTCCCGATAATTGTCCCGAGCGTTATCTCGAAAACTGCTTGATGGTTGTCCCGACGGTTGTCCCGATGGTTGTCCCGATGGTTTTCCCGATAGTTGTCCCAATTGTTGTCCAGATGGTTGTCAATATGGTTGTCCCGATGCTTGTCGCGATGGTTGTCTCGATGGTTGTCCCGATGGTTGTCCCGTTGGTTATGCTGATGGTTGTCTCAATTATCTCCACGATTGTCATTGTCTCCATGGTTCTCGACGGTTGTCCCGATGCTTGTCCCGATGGTTGTCCTGATAATTGCCTCGATGGTTGTCCCTCTAATTGTCTCGATGGTTGTCCCGATGGTAGTCCCTATGGTTGATGTCCCGTTGCTTGTCTCGATGCTTGTCCCGATGCTTGTCCAAATGGTTGTCGCGGAGATTGTCCAGATTGTTGTTCAGATTGTTGTCCCGATGCTTGCACATCTGGTTGTCTGGATATTTGTCCCGATGGTTGTCCAGATGGGTGGCCCGAAGGCTGTCCCGTGGTTGTCGCGATAGTTCTTCCAGGCCGAAACAAAAACACCATGCGTTTTGCGCTGGCATACTGCAGAAAGAGTGCGATCTGCGAGACCATGATTCCGAAAATATGCGCCCTGCAGGGTAAACATGTAAAAAGGTGGTGGTGATGGGAAGAGTGGGGAGGGGATTGAGGAGGAAGTGGATGAAGGAGTGAGGCGAAAGAGGAGAGAAGGAGGGTGAGGTGTGAAGGAAGTGGGGCGTGGCGCTGCAAATTCAAAACGAGCACCCTATGCACAGCAGGGTTGACAATGAAAATGCGCCCCGCAGTGCAACACACATACATATGTGTGTATGTAGATGTGTATACACATGCATCGTTCGGCTACACATGTCCATATAATATATATATATATATATATATATATATATATATATATACACCCCAAACAAATTCGCTCTTAGGGGTTCTTACTTCTGCTCTTGGGAGCTGCGCATGTCTGCCAGCGTGGCGGCTATGTTGCCGCCGTCGCCGCCCCGTCGCCGCCCGTCGTCCGAGCCCGTCTGCCGGTCTGGCGGCTATGTTGCCGCTGTCACCGCCCCATCGCTAACTCTGCGCGGCCAGTCGTCTGGGCCTTGTCTGCCAATTTGGCGTCCATGTTGCCACCGTCGCCGCCCCGTCGCCGCCTAGTCGCCGACTCGTCGCCTCCCACATGTTACAACATAGAACTCACCAAATACATTGCACCGTATTTTTTATATGTACCTATATATGTAGATATATGTTGTGCATATATTTACACACAACATATACCTATATGTTGCACCGCAGACATTGCACAACATACGGTGCACAATATACAGTGCACCACATACACTGCACCACGTCGGTTCCACCATATGAATTGCACACCACCACATAACTTGCATCACGTCTGTTCTCCTTTCAAAAAAAAAAAGAGGATTGATTTCCCCCCCCCCCTGGATTATCCATTCCCTTTTTCCGCACTGCTATTTACTCATGATTGTGCCCCATGGTCCATCCTAACTATAAATACATACCATCCCAGCGGGGCCGGTATCCGCCCCCCCCGCCACCCCCTGCAAAAAAAACTATGCGCGCACATTTTTCCCAAAAAAACATCACTTGTCCAGAATCTTGTGGAAAACAAAAGAAAGGACGAGAAGCACACGCGCGCGATGTCGCGCGCGCATGCTGGAAACCTTCCAAAACCTTCGGTTACGTCAGGATCAGTTTCGAATGTCCAGACAAACATATGTGACAAAAAAAAATCAAAAAATGAAAAGAAACAAAAGGCTCGCAACACCGATCCTGCACAACAACAAGAAATGAGCGCGCTCTTGCGAATTTTTGAGGAGACCATCAATTTTCATCCTGTCGGAACCAAACGGGCTTCGCGCGCGCGCATGTCGACATCGTTCGAACGCCTTTTACGCGCGTGGCGTCGCGAGAATCGTTTGCAAAAAATTGGACGAGGTGCTCGCGCGCGCATCGTCGCGCGCGCATGCCGAAGTAGGTCAAAAAACTTCGGTTTCATAAGAATGTTAATTTCGAGTGCCCAGAAAACATGAAAAACGCGTCGCAACATCAGTTTTCAAAAAAGCGTGCGCTCGCGTTCGTGCGAACTCTGGGAAAAAAACATAGGCGTTTCAACATGTTCATGGAATTCTGCCAAGCAGGCCTCTCGCGCCGCATGCCGACATCATTCGCACCCCCTTCCGCGCGTGTTCGGGGTATCACGATCCGTGTCAAATGATGAAATGCGGACCACTATCGCGCGCCGGCTGCGCGCGCACGTCCAACTCCTTCCAAATCCTTCATCACCGACGCGAGGACGCAATCATGGGTCGTCGCCGCGATCAGCATCGCCACTGGCATCGATACTATCATCATCGTGTCTACAATTGTCGACGTTGCCATGATACCGCGCCCGCCCAAGTGGCCAACTAGCGGTGAATGGCCCGCTGGGACGTGCTCAGCGGTCAGCGCAACCGCGGCCGCGTCGGTCGCGCCAAAACTGGCTGGCCGCTGCGCGCGCGCGTGCTTGGGTTGACGCGGCCTTGGAGACGCACAAGCCAACGCCAAGCATGCATCGCAAGCGTCACCGCATGAGCTTTGCAAACCAAATTGCGGGTGGGTGGGTGGGATGTTTGCAAGAGCACGGAATGCGTCAACTCGTTCTTACAAACAAATGCACAACATAGATTGCACCACCTGGACAGCACCACATAGATTATCCTCTCTAGCACGGATTTCAAATCGACCACCCACCCACCCGCCTGGGTTTTTTCCCCTTCCCTGGGGGAATACAATTTGCTTACGGTCGATCCTTCTAAATTTAAATCCATATCATCCCAATCGAACCCCTTAGCGACCCCCACTCATCCTCGTCAAATTGCGCGCACATTCGCTCATCAAGAACGATGATTTTCCAAGAATCCGCCGCAACAAAAATGAGACAACGTTTACACGCGCACGACGTCGCGCGGGCATGCTGAAATCATTTGAAGACCTTCGGCTCCGCAAAGATTTCCCGAAAAGACATGAAAGATAAATCTGCGCACGCGATCTTGTGAATTCCGACGAGAAAAAACCTTGGCTGCGTTCAATAATGTCGCCGAATGCGACCAAACGGGCCCCCGCGATCATGTCGAAATCATTCGAAAGCCTTTGCGCGTTTGCTGGGGGGGCACGATCTGCATCAAACTTTACCATGCGGGCCACTCGCGCCCGTCGGCCACACGCGCATGTCGAAAAATTCCGAAAATGTTCATCACCGACGTATGGACACCATCACCGATATCGGCGTGATCAGCATCAGCACCGTCATCGGCCTGGCCGTCGGCATCGTCACCAGCATCGCCACTGCCATCGTCGCGTCTGCCAGCGTCGACGTCGCCATGATACCGCGCCCGCCCGGATCACCGACTCTAACTGGAGCGCCCGTGTGTCAAAGCGGCCCGTGAGACGCGCTGGGAAGTCCCCAACGGTCAGCGCCGCCGCATGGGTTTTGCAAACCTAGTTGCGGGCGGATGGGTGGGATGATTACGCGAGCAGTAGAGTTGACAACTCACTGCGAACAAACATGAACTCTCTTTTCAAAAAAAAGGAAAGATCGGTTCTGCAACCCTCCCCCCCCCTCTGGGACTTATCGATTCCCCCGGAAGCAATGCAGAACACATACGATTCTGACACAATGTCCATCCTACCTGTGAGTTCGTATTATCCCAGCCAGGCCAGTATCGTACCCCCTGGGTTCCCTTGCGACACATACTACGCGCGCGCACTCGTTTATCAAAAACCAAAGGTTTTCCCGAATCCCTTTGCAAAAAGCGGGACGACGTGCACACGCGCGCGTCGTCGCGCGCGCCTTCGGTTTCGGAAGGAGTTCAAAATCGAGAGTCCAAGAAACATGTCTAAAAAAACAGAAAGCCAAAAAAATCGCAACACGGATGTTCAACAAAAGCTTGCGCGTGCTCTTGCGAATTCTTAAGAAAACCAATAGTTGTTCAACATTGTCACGAAATGCTGCCCAACGGGTTTCGCGCGCGCATGTCGAAATCGTTCGAACGTCCTTGCGCGCGTGCTGTGGTAACACGACCCGTGTCAAATAATACCATGCGAGCCACTCTCGCGCGTCTGCCTCGCGCGCATGTCGAATTCCTTCCAAAACCTTCATCACCGACGCGAAGACGCCGTCATCATCGTCGGCATGATCAGCATCGGCGCCGTCACTGGCTGCCCCGTCGTCGCTGTCAGCATCGTCCCCAGCATCGCTACTATGATCATCGTGTCTGCCGTTGTCGACGTTGCCGTGATACCGCGCCGCCCAAATCGCCGACTCGCACTGAAGTGCCCGCTGGGATGTGCCGAGCGGTCAGCGCCACCGCGTTCGCGTCGGTCGCGCCAAACTAGTTGGCCGCTGCGCGCGCGAGCATGCACAGGCATGCGCGGCCGCATATATGCACCAGCCAACACCCAGCACTCATCGCAAGCGCTCCCGTGAGATGATTGCGTGAGCAGTGGAGCTGACAACTTCAATTCGGCAAGTGGATTGTACCGCATAGGTCGCACCGCATAGATTGCTCAACTACTTTCACCACCTATAGATGGATGTTGCACAACATATAATGCAACACCTAGGTTGTTATATCTATATATATATATACATGCACCACGTAGATGGCACCACATCTATCGGTCCATCTGTACTGCACAACGTACTCTGGGTTTCTTGATAAGCCTGGGGGGTGTACCCCCTCGACGGGGGTCAACCTCGCCTCGTCGTCGCGCCGCGACGGGGATCGGAGGGGCTTCGGCGCGCGGTGGCTGCCTGCGACGAGGGTCGATGTGGGGCTGTCGGCGGGGGTGACGCCCCCCCGACGCTCATTAAGAAACTCGGAGTATGTTGCTAGAAACACACTGTTTGGGATCCACGCCAGCTGACATATACAGATTAGAAAACATATAAACAGATTGCTGCTTGAAGATCGGTGGAGAGACAGTGAGATAGATGAAAAATTGATAGACGGATAGATAGATGGACAGATCGAACAGTTGTCCCGATGGTTGTCTGAATGACTGTTCCGATGGTTGTCCTGATCAGTGTCCCGGTAGATCGTGATACCGCCAGATTGATTGGTAGAGAAACCGATAGGTAGGCAGTCAGAACTCGAGTGGTACATATAGATCAATAAGTGGAGATAGATGGAGAGGCAGTGAGATACGAAGACGGATGAACTGGAAGACATATCTGTATAGATCTGCCGACCCCCGCCTGCCGGGGAGCAAGAAGGCGTGTGAGATGGCTGGCTGTCCCCTTCCCCATCTTCCCCCTCCCACGGGGCCCAAAATCTCGCTTAGGGGGGGTGATGCACGATCTGCACGGCGCCTCCCTGAAGACTCCGGAGCTTCCAACTCTGCCGTCCGTGTTCTCAGACGTGCGAGGACGGTCCCGAATCGCCAGACGATTGACCCAAGACGCCCACGAGGGCTCCAAGACGCCCCAAGACGCCTTCGAGACGCCCCAAGGGAGGCGCAGGAGCCTTCCCAAGAGGGCCCGGAGAGGCAAAAACAGTTGTTTCCCCTTTGGTTTTTCACTGTTTCTGGGGTCATCGTCTTCTCGAGCTTCCGACGGTCCAAGACGGCCCACGAGGCACCGTAGACCGTCCGAAAACAGCCCATGGCTCCTGCGAGGGCCCCAGGACGGCCCAAGAGGGTCCCAAGACGGCCCAAAGAGGGGCCCAAGACAGCCAAAGGTCGCCCCAAGAGGGCCCCAGGAGAGGCCAAGAGGGAGAACACGAACCGAAATCCAATCTTTCCGCCCCATGAAGCCCCCAACAGCCCAAAGAAGCCTCCAAGACAGATAGACGGGTACATAGATGGGTTGATGAAAATCCTACTAATGTCTCGATGTTTGTCCACTCGTGAGTTGAAATGTGCGTCCAATGCAAATCAAAGATGATGTCAATGCCCTTCCCAACATCCTGATCACCAGAAAGATTATCTATGAGGTACGCGACGGTCTTCGACATTTAGCAACGCTCGAGCACTTCACAGGCGGAGGACCAGAGTTGCACATAGGTGTGAAAAACCCTGATCAGTCGCACCGCGATGTCTAGCGCTCTCAGCTGGAGGATGGTCTCATATACGCCAGCCCGCAGGAGAATCCGATGGGCAGAACGTACACAACAGTTGTGACTGCGCGTCCGTCTTCCCGTGGATGCACTCGATGCTGCTGCACCACGACGAAGCCACTGGAGAGCTCGAGTCCCCCTCGAACAAGCCCGCCCCTGATCATCCCTCCTTCCTCCCCTCCTTCCCTTCTCCCTCCCCCATCCATCCGCGAGTAGGGAAGGTTGAGGCCTGCTTGGTTGTCGACTGCCGAGCAGGGCGGGGCAGAAATACTGCCCTGACTGCTTTTGGAGCTCGTCCTACGCCTCCCCCCCAAGGGGGGGGGGGATCCAGACGGCGCTGCGGGGCTTGACGCTTCCTCCTGCCCAGTCGATCCGATCCGACCCCCATCCATCCTCCACCCTCTCCTCCTCTTCCCACCTCCTTGCGGACGTTTTCGACAGTGGGCGGAAGGGCGGGGGAGGGGATGGTCTGGCTCCGGACCTCTGCCGAATGCGACTCTTTGCAACAGTGCGTCCTATGTGGGAGACTCCACCTGCTTGAAGCAGGCGCCGAAAACAGCCCATGTCTACTCCATAGGGGGGGAGGGGGTGCGAGGGCCCGCGCCGATCGGCAAAACAATAAATCAGAAAACGGTCCCCTTCCTACCTCCGTCATCCCTCCTGCTTCCTTCCTCCTTCCTCCATCCTGCCTCCTTCCTCCATCCTCCTCCATCGTCCCCCCGCGCCGTCTTCGGCCTGCCCCCGCGTCCCAGTGCGCGTCGCCGGCGTCGATGCGCAGGTCGATGGCACCCCATGGATCCTCGTCCTCGTCCTCCGGAGGAGGCCCAGTTGGGACATCGGCGGCCTGCTCCTGCGCCTCCTGCCTCCTCCTTCTCCTCCTCCTCCTCCTCCTCCCCCTCCGCGGGCCCTGTTGGACTCACTCGCGCGGTCCTTGTGGTCTCTTCAGGCCAGCCTGTGGCCGTCGAAAAGTCTCTTTGGCCACATTGGTCCATCTTGGCGGCCTCTTGACGCCTACTGGAGCCGACCTGAAGGTCTCTGGGGACCTGGGAAATCATCCGGAGCCCTAAACTGGGTCCGCTGGCCCCAGAGACTAAAGTCTGGTGCAGGGGGGAGTAGAAGAGGAACTTTGATGAAGTGGGTGGCCTCGGGTCCGGGGACCCGATCGCCGTAAAATTACATACAATTATGGTGCGGGTACCCGCATCTGCGCGGGCCACATCATTACACAAATGCCAAATTCTTGCGGTTACACACACCATACCGTTCTGAGCGCCCAGCCACCACTTCGCGCTGGTTCTGACAAAGACGGCCGTGGGTCGGCATGTGTCCCGTCGCGTGCTGCCGATTGTACTTGCGCACCTGGCACACTCTGCGCGCACCGAGCGTGGCGCAACAGGCGCTGGCTCAAAGCCGCGCTAACAGCAATGTTGGTGAACGGCAGTGTTGGGAAACTGATTTGTGTGTCACCGAGCTCGCGCAGAACAGATTGTAGGAAATTACGAACAACACTTTCCTACATGTCAAATGTGCGAATGAATCGAGCACGAACCACGATGTCCTACAGTTGGTTTGGCCGCGAACCAGTCCCACCTACAATGCCGAAACCTACATCGCCATTACCTGCTGTTAGCGCGTCTACGGCGGGTGGAGCACGTGACGCACTTGGCGAGCGTGGAGTCCACAGCACATCGGGCGCACAAAGCGCGCCTGGCACGCCTGGGTCCTCGGGGCGCTGGGGCGCACCTGGTGCGAGAGGCGCCCCTGGCACGCGCGGCGCACCTCGCGAGCGTCCCCCCCAAGGTGTCTGCCTCGACCCCTACTGGCGGCCCGTCGAATAGCAACCCTCGCCTTAAGTCGTGCACATCCCCCTACAGGCCGATCTTGGACGAAAAATTTGAAGTAGTCAAACAATTCAACACGTATTCAAAAATTATTCAAAAAATCGTCCCCAGACCATTTACTCACTATGTTTGAATATTCCTCATGTAGAGAGACACGCCCGACTTAACCCTTGCCAACCCTGACACCCCCGCCAGTGGCCGCCACGGCCCAGGGCTGGGGCCAGGCGGGCTGCGAATGGCTACAAATGATTTCCTAGATCTCCCGCGAGGGAAGAAGCCCTCCCCGAAACGGCTCCGAGTGGCCACGGATCCTCTCATTGGCATCGGCGTCGGCGTCGGCGTCGGCGTCGGCGAGGGCGTCGTCGTCGTCCTCATCATCGTCGTCGTCGTCGTCGGCGGCGGCGCCGTCCTCGTCGTCGTCGTCGTCCTCGTCGTCATCGTCGCCCTCGTCGTCCTCGTGCTCGTCGTCGTCCTCGTTGTCGTCGTCCTCGTCGTCGTTGTCGTGGTCGTCGTTGTATTCGTTTCATCGTCCTCGTCGTCACCGTCGTCGTCCTCGTCGTCGTCCTCTTCGTCGTAGTTGTCGTCCTCGTCGAATTCGTCGTCCTCGTCGTCCTCGTCGCCCTCGTCGTCCTCGACCTCGTCGTCGTCCTCGTTGTCGTCGTCCTCGTCGTCCTTGTCGTGGTGGTCGTTGTATTCATTTCGTCGTCCTCGTCGTCGTCGTCCTCGTCGTCCTCGTCGTCGTCCTCGCTGTCGTCGTCCTCGTCGTTCTCGTCGTCCTCGTCGTCGTCGTCGTAATCGGAGTAGTCCTCGTCGTGGTTCTCGTCGTCCTCGTCGTCCTCGTCGTCCTCATCGTCCTCGTCGTCCTCGTCGACCTCGTCGTCCTCCTCGTCCTCGTCGTCGTCGTCCTCGTCCTCGTCGTCCTCGTCGACATCGTCGTCCTCGTCGTCCTCGTCGTCGTCATCCTCGTCGTCCTCATCGTCCTCGTCGTCCTCGTCGTCCTCGTCGTCCTCGTCGTCCTCGTCCTCGTCTTACTTGTCGTCGGCAACGGTGCCGGCGGCGCCGACGTCGTCCTCGTCGCCCTCGTCGTCCTCGTCATCCTCCTCGTACTCGTCGTCGTCCTCGTCGTCCTCGTCGTCGTCCTCGTCGTCCCGTCGTCCTCGTCGTCGTCCTCGTCGTCGTCGACCTCGTCATCATCGTCGTCCTCGTCGTACTCGTCGTCCTCGTCGTCCTCGTCCTCGTCGTCGTCCTCGTCGTCGTCGTCGACGTCCTCGTCGTCGTCCTCGTCGTCGTCGTCGGCGGCGTCGTCGTCGTCCTCGTCGTCGTCCACGTCGTCATCGTCGTCCTCGTCCTCCTCGTCCTCGTCGTCGTCCTCGTCGTCCTCGTCGTCAAAGTCGTCGTCGTCCTCGGCGTCGTCCTCTTCGTCGTAGTCGTCCACGTCCTCGTCGTCCTCGTCGCCCTCGTCGTCCTCGTCGTCGTTGTCGACGTCGTCCTCGTCGTCCTCGTCGTCCTCGTCGTAATCGTCGTCGTACTCGTCGTAATCGTCGTCGTCATACTCGTCGTCCTCGTCGTCGTCCTCGCTGTCGTCGTCCTCGTCGTCCTCGTCGACGTCGTCGTCCTCGTCGTCATCGGAGTAGTCCTCGTCGTGGTCCTCGTCGTCCTCGTCGTCCTCGTCGTCCTCTTCGTCCTCCTCGTCCTCGTCGTCGTCGTCGCCCTCGTCGTCCTCGTCGTCCTCGTCCTACTCGTCGTCCTCGTCGTCCTCGTCGTCGTCGTCGGCATCGTCGTCCTCGTCGTCCTCGTCGTCTTCGACGTCCTCGTCGTCCTTGTCGTCCTCGTCGTCCTCGTCGTCCTCGGCGTCCTCGTCCTCGTCGGCATCGTCGACGTCGGCAACGGTGCCGGCGGCGCCGACGTCGTCCTCGTCCTCGTCGTCCTCGTCGTCCTCATCGTACTCGTCGTCGTCCTCGTCGTCCTCGTCCTCGTCTTTCTCGTCGTCCTCGTCGTCGTCGTCGTCCTCGTCGTCCTCGTCGTCCCGTCGTCCTCGTCGTCGTCATCGTCGTCGTCGCCCTCGTCATCCTCGTCGTCCTCGTCGTCCTCGTCGTCCTCGTCGTCCTCGTCGTACTCGTCGTACTCGTCGTCGTCCTCATCGTCCTCGTCCTCGTCGTCCTCGTCGTCCTCGTCATCCGCGTCGTCCTCGTCGTCCTCGTCCTCGTCGTCGTCCTCGTCATCGTCGTCCTCGTCGTCGGCGTCCTCGTCGTCGTCGTCTTCGTCGTCGTCGTCGCTGGCGCCAGCGTCGGCGTCGGCGTCGGGGTCGGCGTCGGCGTCGGCGTCGGCGTCGGCAAGGGCGTCGTCGTCGTCCTCATCATCGTCGTCGTCGGCGGCGTCGTCGCCCTCGTCGTCGTCGTCCTCGTCGTCCTCGTCCTCGTCGTCATCGTTGTCATCGTCGTCCTCGTCGTCCTGGTCGTCCTCGTGATCGTCGGCGTCCTCGTCCTCGTCGTCGTCCTCTTCGTCGTGGTCGTCGTCCTCGTCGTACTCGTCATCCTCGTCGTCCTCGTCGCCCTTGTCGCCCTCGTCGTCGTCGTCCTCGTCGTCGCCCTCGTCGTCCTCGTCGTGGTCTTCATCGTCCTCGTCGTCCTCGTCGTCGTCGTACTCGTCCTCCTCGTCGTCGTCCTCGTTGTCGTCGTCGTCCTCGTCGTCCTCGTCGACGTCGTCGTCCTCGTCGTCGTCGTCGGAGCAGTCCTCGTCGTGGTCCTCGTCGTCCTCGTCGTCCTCGGAGTCCTCGTTGTCCTCGTCGTCCTCGTCGGCCTCGTCGACCTCGTCGTCCTCGGCGTCGTCTTCGTCGGCAACGGTGCCGGCGGCGCCAACACCATCCTCGTCGTCCTCGTCGTCCTTGTCGTCCTCGTCGTCCTCGTCGTCGTTCTCGTCGTCCTCGTCGCCGTCCTCGTCGTCCCATCGTCCTCGTCGTCGTCCTCGTCGTCGTCGTCATCCTCGTCGTCCTCGTCGTACTCGTCGTACTCGTCGTCCTCGTCGTCCTCGTCGTACTAGTCGTTGTCCTCGTCGTCGTCCTCCTCCTCGTCCTCGTCATGCGCGTCGTCCTCGTCGTCCTCGTCGTCGTCCTCGTCGTCGTCGTCCTCGTTGTCGGCGTCCTCGTCGTCCTCGTCGTCGTCCTCGTCGTCCTCGTCGTCCTCGTCGTCCTCGTCGTCCTCGTCGCCCTCGTCGTCGTCCTCGTCGAACTCGTCATCGTCGTCGTCGTCCTCATCCTCCTGAGCCTCGTCCTCGTCCTCGTCCTCGTCCTCGTCGTCCTCGTCGTCCTCGTTGTCCTGGTCGTCCTCATCGTCGTCCTCAATGTCCTCGTCGCCCTCGTCGTCCTCGTCGTCGTCGTGATCGCCGTACTCGTCGTCCTCGTCGCCCTCGTCATCCTCGTCGTCGTCGGCAGTGGCGCTGGCGGCACCGACGTCGTCATCGCTGTCGTCGTCCTCGTCAACCTCCTCGTCGTCCTTGTCGTCCTCGTCGTCCTCGTCGTCCTCGTCGTCCTCGTCGTCGTCGTCCTCGTCGTCCTCGTCGTCGTCGACGTCCTCGTCGTCCTCGTCGTCGTCATCCTCGTTGTTCTCGTCGTCCTCGTCGTCCTC